TTACAAAACTAAAAAAATATTATACTAAATAAATAAGAAAAGTAATAAAAAAATCTAAAATACAATTTGCATACAAAAATAAAAATTCTAAAATATGTTATACTTTTATTTTAATAAAAAATTCTAAAACATATTTACCAAAAAAATTACAAAAATAAAAATATTATATTATTTAATTAACTTACCTTGTAATCAAGCGATTTGGTTTGTTTAAATGTAAAATGACAAACTAAAATATTTAAATGCAAAACTAAAATTTTATAATTTAAACAAATTCAAACTCACCTCAGTTTGGATTGAATTTTAATTAAATTGAAACAATTTCGATTAAATCAATCAATTTAAATTGGACATGAATAACCCTATAAATGATGGGGCACTTGATAATGGAGGCAAAAATCTATTTTTAGTCATTTATTTTAATAAGTTTGTAAATTTTAACCCTTTACCTTATATTATGACACTTTTAACCCCTCACCTTTACGAATTAAAGAAAATAACCATTACTTAATGTCAGTTTATAATGTCTATCAACTAACTATTAACATTTTATTAGCTCTATGCCTATCACCGTTAATAGTTGGTTAACGAATATTATAACCTCACATTAAGTAAATGTTATTTTCTTCAATTTGTATATATTATGGATTAAAAGTGTCATAATATAAGTTGATAGATTAAAACTTACAAATTTATTAAGGTAAAGGGTTATGTTTTTGCCGATAATGGATGTACACTCCCTCACCTAATTAATAATTTACATTTCAATACGTCTAAATTGTAAAAAGCTGAACTTGATGAACTTTAGTTGGATGATAAATATAAAATGCTTGTTGAGAATGGTACCACTTCTAAACTTTTGAAGAGTTTGTGTTTTGTTGCAGCAATAATATTATAATGCAAAATAAGAGTCATTAGATAAGAATAGAGATCTATTTACATATAAATTTTATATAATACATTTATATAAAATTTCAATTTTTTTTTTATTTTCAATGGTTGAATTTATTCACATTTATTAAAAATAATTAATAAGTTGTGATAAATTACAATCATTAAAAGTAGAAAGATGAATAGTTAAGATTTTGTATAAATGTAATATGTAAAACTTGTGTGTAAATAGATGCTTTTTCATTAAATAAAGGGTTTGTTTAAGGTTTAAGTTTTAAAACCAACATCCAAGCACATTCTTTTTTTGTTTTTTTGTACTAAACCCTTAGTATCCAGAAGTTATATTAAACCCTAATTAATCTGGAGTCAAGCTACAATAGACCCTATTAAAGAGAAGTTCTTTCAGTATTTATTTTTTTATTTATAAAACTCAAACTTATGACCTTATTTAAAAGAAATTGAACTCATTCTATTTAAATTAACAAATTGTTGGTTTCCAAGTACATTCTTAATATCAATTAAGCATGAATAATCTCATGATATACGAATACTAGCTGGAAAATTCTCTAATCTCCCATCCAAGCCAAAAAAAAAAAAAAAACGGAGTGTTTGTATCCATAGAGTTCTCCATCATCTAAATTATAGCAACTTATATGTTTTGTAGTTTTTTTAGATGAATTAAAATTTTATTATAAAATTGAGTACAAGGGGTACTCTCCCATAGACATGATTAGAATGAAAGAAAAAGGGAAAGGTTAAGTCTCCTTAGAGCACAGCATTGGAAATTGACACCAATCCCCAAAGGAAAATGCAGCAGAGGTGGAGATCCCTTTAATCCATTCAAAGGTTTTTGACTGAACAAGGTCGGTGAGGTTGTTTTCATCCCATGTCATGGATTTGAAAATCACGCCATTCCTAGAGTACCAGATGAGCCATGCAGTTGCTAAGACAATAGGGATCCAACAGTTCCGTGCCTTTTTTGAGTCAGGAAGTGAACAAAGTTGAAGAATAAACAAGGAGGCATTATCAGGAGGGACGAATGAGAACCCCCACCAAAGACAGATTTTGCTCCATAATAGCTGGACCTTCCTGCATTTAGCAAAGAGATGGTTGACATCCTCCATTTGGGCACCGCAAAAAACACAATTTGTGTTGGATAAATCATCAACACCTCGAAGGATAAGATTCTCCTTAGAGGGGAGGCGATTGAGAAGAAGACGCCAAATAAGAACACTGACTTTGGGGGGAACATATTGATTCCAGATTAGTTTGCAGTAGTTATCATCAAGGCAAGGGTTTGAGTCATCAAGGAATATGTATGCCTTTTTTGCTGTGTATCCCGAGGCACAGTATCTCCATATAAAATGGTCAAGTTGGCCGGTAGAGATGTGAACATTCCTCATGATGTCGACCAGCTTTTCAAGTTCATTTAATTCTCTTCCAAAAGGGGCCCTGCGCCATTCAAAACACCAATTTCCGCTATGGGTTGGCTTTAAGTCAGCAACTGAAGAGTCCTTGTGACTAGCAAGATTAAACAACCGAGGGAATTCAGATTTAAGTGGAGAAGTTCCAAGCCAAATGTCTTCCCAAAAACTGGTATCGGCTCCATCACCGAGTTGACGAGAGAATCCCTCATTGAAGCATAAGAAAGCTCTATCATTTTCCTTGCCAATAGATAGAATGTCTTTCCACAACAAAGACATCTTTGGAGAGACATAGTTAGAGATAACAGTATTAGATGCTCCATTGTAATATTTGCTTACAATGATCTTCTTCCATAATTTCTCACTTTCAGTGTTGTCATAGAATTTGCTCCACCACTTGCCTAAGAGGGCGATGTTTCTATTAGCCAAATCTGGAATCCCAAGACCCCCTTTAGATTTTGCAAGGCAAACCCAGTTCCAGTTAACCCAAGCAATCTTCTTACAATTATCTGAACCTCCCCATAAGAAGTTTCGTTGGATTTTGGTTAGCTCATTCAGAGTGCCTTTTGGGATCTTGAAGATTGAAAAATAAAATAAAGGAAGGGCAGAGAAAACTGACGTTAGTAGCGTGATTCGACCGCCAAATGATAGAAGCTTGCCCTTCCAAGCTGCCAATTTGGATCTAAACTTTTCAACAATTGGTTTCTAGAAGTTATTGTGTCGTGGGTTGCCACCAATAGGTAAACCAAGGTAAGTAAAGGGCAGACATCCATGCTTGCAATTCAGAGTGGTAGCCACCATGTTAAGCCAGCTCTCCTCTACATTGAGCCCGTAAAGAGTGCTTTTACCAAAGTTGATTTTTAGTCCAGACATAATCTCAAACCATCTAAGAAGAAATTTTATAGCCCACATTGAACTCACTGACACCTCACAAATGAGAGCAGTATCATCAGCAAACTGAAGATGGGAGACACTAGTGTTTCCATCAACAACCACTCCATTAAGAAGATTTTTACTTTCAGCCTCATTGATTAAGGAATGTAGTCCTTTAGCTGCAATCAAAAACAAATATGGAGAGTAGGGGTAGCCTTGCCTAAGGCCTCTCTGCATGTTGAATACCTGAGTTGGACTGCCATTTACAAGAATAGATACAGAGGCAGAAGAAAGACACTCTTTAATCCAGCTACGCCACTTCTCACCAAACCCCAACAAAGAGTGCATATTGTCCAAGTAACTCCAATCAACTGAGTCAAAGGCCTTTTCAAAGTCTACCTTGAAGATGATACCTTTGTGCTTCCTACTTTTCATATCATGCACCAGTTTAGTAAGCGCTAGAACATTATCAACAAGTTGTCTCCCCTTTAGAAATGCAGATTGGCTCATGCTTATAACCTTCCCAATAACCTTCCTCAACCTGTTAGCAAGTACTTTGGCAAGAATTTTGTAGAGACACCCAACCATACAAATCGGCCTATAATCCTGGAGAGATGTGGAGTTTTTCTTTTTGGGAACAAGGGTGATATATGAAGTGTTAAGGCCTTTGACAAGCTTCCCATTCTGATGAAATTCTTTAATAAAGTTAGTGACATCACTTTCAATTATACTCCAAATCGACTTTATAAGATGAAAATTGCAGCCATCAGGCCCCAGGGCTTTGTCACTAGCACATGAGAAAACAGCTTCTTTAATTTCGTCTTCCATGAATTCTGCTTCAAGCATCAGTCTATCCTCTTCTGATATCCTGTTGAACTGCAAGTTGTCAAGGAAAGGACGAAGTAAAGATTGGGAGGAGAATTGAGATTTAAAGTGGTCCATGATAATCTGCTTAACCAACACAGGGTCATAAACCCAGGAGCCCTTATTGCTAATCCCATGGACCATGTTCTTCTTGTTTTTGCCAATAATGACTTTGTGGAAGAAGCTAGTATTTGCATCACCTTCTTTGATCCAAGTGGCTCTAGACTTTTGCCTCCATAAGCTTTCTTTTTTCTTCAAGCACTGCCATAGATTAGCAAGCCCTTCTTTTCGTTTTAGCATATCAGTCTCGGTAAGATCACTAGTGTCACATTTGGAGTCAATAAGTTCAATTTCCCTCATAGCTTCTTCATATTGATTGTCAATGTTTCCAAAAGCTTCCCTATTCCATGCTTTTAGATGATGCCTTAGGAGCTTAAGCTTCTCCTTACATTTGAACCCCCAATACCCCTCAACCTCAAATGAGTTCCACAACTTCTTGATCATTGGGTGAAATTCAGGATGCATTGTCCAACTATTGATTGATTTAAAAGTTTTTGGACCCCAATCATCATTACTTGTCTTAGGCTAATAGGGCAGTGGTCACTAATGCTCCTTTTTATAGCAAGTTGAACACAATTTCCCCATGTCTCATGATAATTCTCAAAAAGAAGAAATATATCTAACCTGCCATGGGCTGACCCATCACTCTTATACCAAGTAAATTTTCTATTTGAGAGTGGCAAATCAACTAGATTATTTGCTTCAATAAATAAATTAAAATAATCGGAACCAGGTTGAGAAGTCATTCTACCTTTTCTTTCATGCTGACCTCTGACACAATTAAAATCTCCCCCGATACAGAACAAGCAGCACCGAGTCCCAATTTGAGTAGAGATATCATTCCACAACTTCGCTCGACCAGCCACATTACAAGGACTATACACATTTAAAAAGCAACACTTGGTTTTATTTCCTCCCCACAGACCTTCAACTCCCAGATAACCATCTCCCACAAATACCTCTTTATTCTCAAATAAATTTGGATCCCAGATACAAAGGAGGCCACCAGCCCTGCCATCTGCTCCTTTAGAGCACCAATCGAAGCTATCTTGTCCCTAGACCAATCTGCATAAAGACTCATCAATAGACTCAACTTTTTTTTCTTGAATCATTAAGAGATTAACATGCTCCTTGCTTACAATGCTTCACAACTCTTTCCTTTTTATAATGTTCCCCAGTCAATGAATATTAAATGTGATCACCTTCATTGGAAAAAGAAATCTGGTGGTAGAGAAGAAGGAATTTGGGTTAGTGAAGCCCTAAATCCCGTTCCTCTAATTCTTGAAACTTTGAGGCAAAAGCTTCCTCATTTCCCACAAAATAAAGACCCAGCCGCTTGCTAAATTCCACAAATCTTCTTATGTCCATATCATCTACTTCTTTTGCCGATAAGCTGCTCCTTTCCTCGAGGAAGTTGTCTGAAAGGGAGGCACTGAGGAGTCCAGAATTCTTCCCCTGTTTGCAATTTCGCTTCCCATGCTTGGATGACTTCTTGTTAATTCCACGATGAAGGCCTGTTATGGACCTTTGGGTTTCTGAATTCTGAAAACATTCTTGGTTCATCTGAGGATTTTCATCAAGATTTACCTGGGCTGGGGAATTGTCGGCGCTTGGGTTCAGGCCCGACCCATTGATAGGGGGATGGGCTTGAGATGGGTTGCTGAGTCCGATTTGGTCATTGGACATATTTTTCACTTGATGAAAGTCAACAGGAGGTGAAGAGGCAAGCCTTGTCTCATTTTCTTTGCCGACAGTCTTGACTTAGAGCCTTCATTACGCTTTGCCGCTCCATTACTCGATTTGACATACTTCTTGGGACTTTCAGTAGTAGCTGGCCTGGCATTTAATTCATTCAACGGATCCTTTTTGAATTGTTTTGGCTGTTTGACTTCTTCGTTGGAGCTCAGACCCCAACTATCGGATATTTGGCCGGAATCTGCTTCAGAAAGATCATCAGACTTAGAAGCATCACTAACATAAACTTTTGCTGCTCTTAGCCACCAAGGATCTGTCTGCCATCTCTCTTCTGTAACTTTCAGGGGGTAAAGATGATTCCAGATGCTTAGAGAGATGCCCTTCTCTATTTGATCTGCGGCATCTGCTTCAGTTGTTGAGATAAGAATCCTAGCAGCATCTAGACATTCCTTGTCTAAAGTAAATTGATCCACTTTAATAAAGTTCCCCAAAAAATTCCCAATTTTCTCTAGGGACCTTGGATTCCAGGCATGGAGAGGAAGGCCGGTGATTCTAACCCATGCAAGCCTTTCCTCGGCAACATCAGATGGGCTCTATGGCTTGATTCTTTTAAACCACTTACTCCACCAAGCTCCCTCTTCCTCAATGAATTTGGTAGTTAAGTTCATATCGTCCGTGCTTAGTAGGACTTTACATCCCCCCATCGGAGTAATGTGGATAAAAGAGAACCCGTTTTCCCAAAGCACTTGTTGAAGACCCGGAATGAGATCGGGGGTATGTACCTCTCCCGTAGCACAATTTTGGAGCCAACTACAATCCTCCAATTCTTCGTCCAGCACCAATGTAACTTTCTCAGCTCTTTTATCCTCTGTGCTTCCCATTGGCTGGGGTTGGGGTGAGTTTTCATTGGAGTTTTTTTGGGGGGGTGGACTATTGAGGAAAACCTCAGCAAAGGATCTCATCTTAAAGGTTGTAGGAGGTGGCGAAGGTGGTAAGATGCGAGGTGGTTTTGGGTTTGGATGGCTGGGTTTTCGATCTATGGCTAATGCAACCCTGATCTTCTCAGTTCCAAAGCAGATCATACGAAGTGATTTCTTAAGCCTAGCGCTGTTTTTGACTTCTGAAAATCTGACAAACCCAAAGCTGTTTCTGTTGTACCTATGATTTTGATGATTAGAAAACACATTTGAGTGACTAATTGATTTATTTAAGTGTGTAGTTAAATTGCCAATATACCGCAAAGTAAGCAAAATGAGATTGCATTAAAAAGGGCTCAAAGGGTAAAAATATGCAAAGAGCCGGCTTAAGAAAATTGCAGTCGGCTCTGGGAAGCAAAAATGCAGAGAGACGGCTGCAGATTTTGTTGAGCCGGCTCTACAAGCCAGAAATTCAACTGCTATTTTGGCGCACGCGGAAAATAGAAGCGAGCCGGCTCCCACTTTGTAACCGGCTGTGAGGGTGCATTTAATGCATAACGGTCAAATTATTTGAAAATTATTTAATATGTTTAAAGTTGGAATCCTAAAGCCGGCTCTAGGCATTGCAGCCGGTTGTGGAAGAAAACAAAATGTGCAGCAATCCTGCAAAGCCAGCTGCAGAAATGGTAAGCCGGCTCTAGAAATCTAAGCCAGCTCTCTTGACAATCCTGCAACTCGAGCTTTGCGTCCTACAGGACATTTAATGACCCCCAATGGCTAGAAACGACTATTTTCCAACAAGGAGCTATAAATATGGTTGGTAACAAATTTGAAGAAGTTTAGAAAGCATTATATTGAATATCTTTACCTACCTACATGAGCTTTAACTTAAGTTTTTGATCTTTGAGAGATCTTTACTTGTAATCCTCTTCTTGTTCTATTTGTGAGTGATCTTGGGGGTGTGATTAATCCTTCAAGAGTGATCTATTGAGAGGATTCGTGGGATTTACATTGTAAAGGGGGAGGTTTGAGAGAAATACTCATCTTCTTGTAAAAGGATTGAGTGGCTCCTTTAAGCCACTCTTATTGTTGTTAGTGGAGAGTGTGGAGGAAATTTTTGGTGAGTGAAGCCAAGGTAGAGGACTAGGCTCCAAGTGATTGGACCAAACCTCTATAAATCATTGAGCAAGCTTTTCTTCTCTACTCTCTTTAATTTTGGTTTTGTGGTTGCAAAAAGAGGAGAATTTTTGAAACTCTAATTCACCCCCCTCTTGGAGTACATTGAGTCAACAGTTTCCTTTCCTGTCTTTCCTTTTAGGGATAAACACATCAACAATTCTCCCTTGACCTGCACCATAAGTGGCAAAGAGGTACCAGAGCCTTTTTGGTGACCAATTCTCCGAGAATTTTGTGAACAGATAGGAGGTGGCATTCTTCAAAAGCCCACGGTCGTACATTGGTAACCTTGTAGTTAGAGATTTCTCTCCAATCGCTGCATGTCCACTCTTCGCCGCTGAACTCTGACGCTGCTCTCCGCCATCGCCGTCATAGTCTTTCTAATTTACTATATAACATTAATCTATATCAGTCCTAATTTTTTTTAAAAAAAATTAGAAATCAACTTATATTTAGAAATTTCAATGCAAAATTAAAAATTTACCCTATTAAGTATCTAGATTTGAAAATTAATTTTGTATTATAAGAAAATCACTTTTTAAATCTAAATATTAATATTTAATAAGATAAATTTTTAAATTTTAAATTGAATTTTAATTAAATAAAATGAGTTACTTGTTTTCAATTTGAGACTTTAATTTATTTTAAAAATT